TGAAAGGAAGACCTGGGAAGAACAACTTTGACAGCAAGAATGAATACAACTTCTGATTTTTTGTGGGATTTGTACAGGACTGTACCGAATTTTGAATATCTGACATACAATTGCCATTCTGATTTCCCCGAAGGCTACAAAGTTTGCAACAGAAATTTCAGCTGGCAGCATAACTTGATACAGTCTGAGACTAAGGAACAGACACAAATATATGGCAGTCAATGGGACTTTGTTAGTGCAGCAATTTAATATGCAAGACACGCCAAGCATCATATAAAGCTTGTAGCTTCTTTGCATAAATATACCCAACTTTTTTTTTTTCTTGAACCAAGGACAATACAAACTTCAGAAAAGTTATCGGTAAGATATTCTGCTAGATATGAATTGCTACGCTGTTACACATTGCGAACCTAGGCCAAAAGAAAAAGAGTGCAGGCAATAGTTTTGCCTAATCCAGAAGTATGAAGTTGTTTAAAATAAAGGGAGGAAAAAAATCAGATGCTTTTAACTGGTTTATTCTTTACACTGTCAATTTAGTTTCCTTGGGTATGCATTTGAAGCTCTGCAGCACAGAAAGAAGGTATTGAGACATTTCATGCTTTCATCATGCTCAATTTTGACAAGGTTAATGCAAGTCTTAGTTTATCAGTACTTCTGTTTCTGGCTAAGTTCAAGTATTCCATATCTGGAGGAAAAAAACCTCCAAATTTTTCTTCCAGGGAAAATCCAACTTTACCCAAGTAACTTGTAGAATTGTTGACAACAGACATTGGACAAAAGCTGTTTGTTTTCATTTTGGGGACAGGGGAGAGGGAAAGAAAGGCTGCTTGAACAGGTCCTGTCCTAGCTATAGGATTGCCCTTTTGATTGTGCTGATGTTATCAAGGAGGCCAAGGATGTGATATGCTAGGTTAAATATGAGACAAGGTAAGCGCTTCTTCTGCATAAGGACTCATTTGTTTGAAACTAGCCTAACAACGTCCTTTTGACCTTATCCTATGTCTGTATTTCAAAAAAATAAAAGCTTTGATGCTGTTGAGACCTACAGAGAAAAAATAAGGAAAAAAAGAGAGAGAGAAGAAAAAAAAAGGCACACACACCCCCACACCCCAATCCACAGCAGTTATCCATTACTTCAAGCCTGAACTAGGAGGCTTTTGTAGCTTAGATATGCAAGGTGTCAAATCAATGACAAAGTATTATTAACAGCCACAGGAACAAACTCGAATACCAGAACGTATTTAGGAAGCATTTTAAAGAAAGTTAGTTAGAGCAACCAAGGATAAGGTGTTATTTGACATGTAATTAAACACTTTCTTGCTGTGATAGGAAACCAACGAGTGTAAATGTGTGTGGGTTATATTGGGTCAGATTGTGCAACGTCACTACAGCTGTATCACAGTAGTGTCCGACAGCCCCGGCTGTATTCTAACATTTTTCCGTTGGTTTTTGTTTGGTATTTTTTTCTCCATGGACCCACAAAACGATTATTCCCTACATTAGAGAGACCAAGCCTCGCCTAGCACCTTAAAATGCGAGGTTCATCCCCTTACACCAACTCAGTCCTTTGCAACCGCAATGACCTCCTATTTAAGGTAACTAGAGCAGATCACAGACCCTGTTCCACCCACCACACACATTCGAGCTTTAGTTCGTCACTAACTGTTCTGCTATGTTCAGAGAAGCTTAACTTTCAGTTCCTCACTTCCTCCTTCCATTTACAGTTGCATGGCAAAACTTGTATACATAAACCTGAATGCAGACAGTCATTTTGCTTCTAATCATTGCAGAGTACGTGCAAATATTTTTGCTTCCTTTATTAAGTGAAATTACGAGTCATTCCATTACATTGCTATTCAAATAAAGTGAATCTTAAATGCATTACCTGATTTTCTTTAGCAGAAGATTCCAAGAAAGCTGCATTCCAGGATTCTGCTAAAGCTTTCCCTTCTTCATAGCTGATCACCCTGACCAAAGAAAAAACGTATATTTCTTTATAAGTTGCAAAAGAATTGGAGCATGATACATCAGGAAAGTCCTCAGAGTACTGAGGCACATAAATGCATGTAAAAGGAATGTTTTGTGAAGTCCGACCCGGAGCATTTGCTTTTGGCTGCTGTCAAGTAAGTGTATTTGTACTGGGCCAGGTAAAACTGCTATGTGTTGAAGAACAGTTGTCCCAAAGTATTGCTTTGTTTTCATAATCTGTAATATAATCTGGTATTTTACAGTTGTGAAAAATACACTTCTGTTACTTGTTTTTGGGGGGTGGGGGAGTGTTAAGTGACCGTCCCTGGAACCTTATAACAAGAATCAACACTGCAGCAAAAGTTCATGGCTCCTAGTTCACATTCTGGACACAATTCCTTTGCCAGTACCTTATTTTAACCTACAATTTGATTTTAGTTACAGAAAGCCAAGAACAAAACTAGCGCATT